AATTAAGGGCCTGCCCTTCAAGTCCTGTATCACCATGCCATGCCTGGCTTTGGATGCAGGCCATGACCTGTACACTGCATTGGTCGTCTTACATGTTTCACTGGTCTGTGTGCACTTGACAGGGGAAATTGATGTTGGTGGCATTTCTTCTGGGATGATGCAAGATGTACTCTTTGTTTAGGACCAGAGGCACTGGAGGGCGCTGGAATCCCTGTGTCCAGTAGGAGGCTCCATTTTGCTGGAGCTCGAGAATGGTAAGCATTTCCAGGCCCAGAGGCCTTGTACCACCCCAAGCAATCTGGAGACCAAAGGGCTTATGTGCTGGCTTGCAGGGCTGCGCTGCTCTGGCAGATTGCCTGGCCTTCTTTCTCTGAGCCATGGACCTGGTCTCCCCAGGCCCATGAAGGTCTTTGTGGTCACCAGGCTCTTCCCTAGCCCGGCCACAGTGCTCCCCTCTCAGCATGTGGGCATGTGCTTGGATCGATGATGACTCCTGCAAATACATTCCTTGGAAGCTGAACAAAATGAGTGAGAACCTCATACCGTCGTTCTCATTGTGACTGAGGTCCAGCACGTTGCCCCCAGCCAGGGTCCTACAAGGAGTGGGTCCACGTCCCCAGCCTCTCGTTCCCTCCAGCAGTCAGGTTATCAGGATAGGCAAATCCTGCCACCACACAGGCAAACGGAGCCAGTCCTCCGAGGCAGTGCCCAGGCCGGGGAGTGCTTGGTGGGATGGGCATATGTGTGGATGTGGTGTTCTTGCGAAGGGCCTTAGGTCTTGGCAGTGTGTTCTCCGAACCTGTGACCACTGTGGTGTGAGGCCTAGATCCCGGGGTCTGTGTCCTTGATTGTCTGAGGGAGAGAGCTTAGAACACCAGTTCTTTGACTGGAGGTGGTGCTTGTATTTATGGGTTGCCACTATTGTGAGCCACGGGAATAGGTCAGGAGGAAACAGGGGGCCTTTTCATTGCCGCACTATGCTGTAGTGCAGGCAGGATATGCTGAGGGATGTGGCTGCACAAGGTCCTGCCCTTCAAGTCCATGTCACAGGATTACAAAATGTGTTGGAATTGGGTTCCCTCAGGTGAGAGGGAAATTATTGCCAGGAAAAATGTCATAGAGTGGTTGCTTGGCACTTGTGCTTTCACGTTTTACAGTTTTTTCCACCTCATGCACAAGGAGCTCTCTAGAATTTTGGGAAATCTTAGAGATGGCTGCTTCTGTGGGTCTTTAAGGTCAGAGTGTACTCTATTGCCTATGTTCCCTGAATACTGTTGGGGATCCCCCATGACTCGCTCTTGCCATGGTGCTTTGCCTTCCAGTCACTATGACCCCAGCCTTGCAATGCTCCAAACTTGCAAATGTGTGGCATGGGTAGCCAGTTTTCCACGGCCAAGTTTCATCTCCCCTTTGTCCTGAAGGGACCCACTTTTGGTCATTGCTCTGCCTGGGTTGTTGAGATCTTCCTCCTCACTTTGCCCCTAGGTGCCCCAGGCAACTGCTGAGGTGGGCTAACTCAAGCCAAGGTGCTGTTGCCCCCGTGCAGGAGAAAATGGGAGTTGTGGACACGGAGCTGTGTCCCAGCCAAGATGATTGGAGTCCTGTACTTAGTGTATAAGGGCCTTGGGGGCCAATCCCATAGGCCTCACTTCAGGCTTACTGTGAGTTGGCTCATTGGTGCTAGGCTGGAGTGGCGTGTGTTTGTGATGAAGGCAAGTGCAAAGCGCCAGGTCATGGTTTGTCAGCCAGCACATGGAGAGGGGGAGAAGTCCTGACAATACCTGAGTAACTTAGTTTCCAAGCACCATCTTCCTTTATGATTTCTTTCTTTTTTTGACAGGCAGAGTTAGAAAGTGAGAGAGAGAGAGAGACAGAGAGAAAGGTTTTCCTTCCGTTGGTTCACCCCCTAAATGACCGCTTCAGCTGGCGCGCTGTGCCGATCTGAAGCCAGGAGCCAGGCGCTTCCTCCTGGTCTCCCATGTGCGTGCAGGGCCCAAGTACTTGGGCCATCCTCCACTGCCTTCGTGGGCCACAGCAGAGAGCTGGACTGGAAGAGGAGCAACCAGGACAGAACTGGCACCCCAACTGGGACTAGAATCCGGAGTGCCAGCAATGCAGGCAGAGGATTAACCTAGTGAGCCGTGGCGCCGGCCAACCTTTATGATTTCTTGAGCTAGCCTGGAGTAGAACCCGGCTGATGGAAGGCAAGTTTGGTCAAGAAGCAGTTGTTAGGGCACTAAAAATGGAGCCTTGTGGCACTGGCCCAGGGTTTCTGAAACCTAATCCAGTCATGGCTTATGTCACCTTCATGTATGTCTCCTGAGGTCCAATGCAGTAATTTATCACAGTAGCAGGTCTGGCCATCAGACTTCCTGAATATCTTTGTGTCTGTCTGTGAGGGTGTGTATACATGTGTTTTGCATGCTGTCACAGGAGGCAGCGGATGTCCCATGGGGAGTCCTGGGCCTAGGTCATCACCTTGAAGAGTGTGAATACACGTCTTGCTGATCGAAGGTGCAGAGATCAAAGGGTTTAAATGAGATGCGCGGGAAGGCAGCCCTGGGAGGTTAAATGCCAGCCCAGGCATCCAGGGACCTCAGCTCCACAACACAATGGGGTACAGCCACACACGTTCCCATGTCAAAAGTCACAGGAAGAACCACAGGGAGTCCCACAGGGAGAACTCTTGTGTGCCAGTGGATCCCTGTCCACACATAGGATCCTTGAATGGAAAGGGGGCTAGGGATGAAGACTTTGGGCTTCTGAAAGGGAGCATTGCGCCATGCCTGGCTATGGATTCGGGCCATGATCTGTGCACTGGGTCTCTTGTCTCACATGTGCCCCTGGTCTGTGTGCAATTCTCAGGGGAGTTGAGATCAGTGGCATTTCTTCTGGAATGATGCAAGATGTACCCTTGGTTGAGTACTGGAGGCACTGGAGGGCACTGGAATCCCTGTGTCCAGTAGGAAGCTCCATTTCGCTGGAGGTCTGAGGAAGGTAAGCATTCACAGGACCAGAGGCCCTGCAAAACCCCAAGTATTCTGGAGACCTGAGGGACCTGTGTGCTGGCACTCCACTGATGGCCTGCTGGCCTACACTGCTCTGGCAGATTGCCTGGCCTTCTTTCTCTGAGCCATGGACCTGGTCTCCCCAGGCCCATGAAGGTCTTTGTGGTTGCCAGGCTCTTCCCTAGCCCAGCCACAGTGCTCCCCTCTCAGCATGTGGGCATGTGCTTGGATCGATGATGACTCCTGCAAATACATTCCTTGGAAGCTGAACAAAATGAGTGAGAACCTCATACCGTCGTTCTCATTGTGACTGAGGTCCAGCACGTTGCCCCCAGCCAGGGTCCTACAAGGAGTGGGTCCACGTCCCCAGCCTCTCGTTCCCTCTAGCAGTCAGGTTATCAAGATAGGCAAATCCTGCCACCACACAGGCAAACGGAGCCAGTCCTCCGAGGCAGTGCCCAGGCCGGGGAGTGCTTGGTGGGATGGGGATATGTGTGGATGTGGTGTTCTTGCAAAGTGCCTATGGTTTGGGATTGTGCTCAACAAACTTGTGCCCACTATGGTGAGAGGCTCAGATCCTGAACACTTTGCCCCTAGGTGCCCCTAGTTGACTACTAATGTGGGCCCTTTCTGGCCAGGGTGGGTTTGACCTGGTGGTGGAGAAAACTCATGATATTCATGAACAGCAGAGCTGTCTCCATACTAAGGTTATTGGAATCTTATACTTGGCCTTTAGGGTCTGGCCTGCTGCGCGTTGCTACTGGGAGTTGACTTGTTGGTGTTAGGCTGGAGTGGCTTGTTTTTGTGATGAAGAGAAGCACAGTGTCATTCACATTGCCATGGTTTGTCCACCAGCATATGATTAGGGGGACAAGGCCTGATAGTACCTGAGTTCCTTAGTTGCCAAGCACAGTGTTCCTTTGAGATTTCCTGTGTGCTAGGCTGGTGTAGGTCCCTGGTGACAGAAGGAAAGCTCCATCAGGAAGCAGTCTTTAAGTTAATAGTGGATGGAGCCTTTGTGGCCCTGTCCCAGGGTTCTTAATCCTGATCTAGTCTTGGCCCATGTCACTTTCATGTGTGTCCCCTGAAGACGAACACAGTGAGTTTCCGGGGTAGCAGTTCTGGCTGGCAGACTTCCTGACATCTTTTTTCTGTCTGGGTGGATGTGTCCACATGTGCTTTGCATGCTGTCTCAGGATGCAGTGGGTGTTCCATGGGGAGTCTATGGCCTCTGTCATTACCTCCAAGGTTGTCCACACGTGTTGTGCTGAAGGAAAGTCCTGACCCTGAGCATCAGTAGTCAAGGGATTTGAATGAGATGCCCCGGAAGGCGGCTCAGGGAGGTTAAATGCTGGTCCAGGGTTCCAGGGACCTCACATTCACAACACAATGGGGTACAACCACACTCATTTCCCTACTTGAAAGTCATGTGGAAAACCACACGGATTCCCAACCAGAGAAGCCTTTTGTGCCAGTGTATCCCTCTTCACACATAAGATCCTTGAATGGGAATGAGGCTGGGGATGAAGACATAAGGCAGGTGAAAAGGGAGCATGTGCCATGGCTGCTATGAATGCAAGCCTTAATCTGCACTGAGTTCATTGTCTCACTTATGCCCCTGGTCTGTGTGCACTTCTCAGGGTCAGTGTCGTGTCTTCAGGGGTGATGCAAGATGTACACTTTGGTGAGGACTGGAGTCACTGGAAGGTGCAGGAATCCCTGTGGCCTATGGTGGGCTCCAGTTCGCTGGAGCTCTGAGGTTAGTAAGCGTTCCCAGGTCCCAGTGCCCCATATCACCCCAAGCATTCAGGATGCCTGAATGACCTGTGTGCTGGGTGGCCACTGATGACCTGCTGGGCTGCACTGCTATGGTGGATTGCCTGGCCTTCTTTCTCTGAGCCATGGACCTGGTCTCCCCAGGCCCCTGATGAGAGCTAGGCTCTCCCCTTGCCCGGCCACAGTGCTCCCCTCCCAGCACATGGGCATGTGCTTGGATTGATGATGACTCCTGCAGATACATTCTTTGGAAGTTGAACAAAATGAGTGAAAACCCCATACCATCATTCTCTTCATTACTGAGGTCCAGCATGCTTCCCCCTGTAGGAACATTAGGGATATTATCCCATGTCTTTTCCCTCACACTCCTTCCAGCCCTCAGGGTATCACTAAAGGCAAATCCTCCCCACCACACAGGTGAACAGACCTGTCCAAGGGCTCTGCCCAGGCCAGTGAGTGCTCGTTGGGATGGTGATACGTGTGTGTGGTGTCCTGGCAAGGAGCCATAGGTTGGTATTTTTGGTTAGGATGCAGGTTAGGGTCTTGCGGTGTGCAGGCCGTGAGCCTATCAATGAATTAGTGACTTTTGTGGACCTGTTCACCAAACCTATGTCCCATGCAACATGCGTCCCAGATCATTGGGACTGTGTTCTTGATCCCTTGAGGAGTAAAACATGGAGTGCAAGTACCCTGACTTAAGGTTGCACTTGTATCTATAGGCTGACAATTGTTGTGACCCATGGTGTAGGGCATAGTGAAACAGGGGGCCTTCTCGTATCCGGATTCCACCCTATGGTATAGTGCAGGAAGGATACACTGAGGGGCCTGGCCATATGAGGGCCTGCCCTTCCTCATGCTGCATCACGGGATTTAACCTGTGTTTGATGGAGGCTCTCAGGCTGAGACGTATGGTCTTTCCAGGAAAAACAGCATACTATGGTTGAGTGCAGACTCACAGATGTGCGTTTTCCAGCTGCAGCACAAGGAGCTCTCTGGAGTTTCTGGGAACCATGGAAGTGGTGCTTTCTGTGTGGGTTTAGGATCAGAGTGTGCTCTGGTGCCTGTGTTCCCTGACCACTATTGGAGAGCTAGGTCTTTGCACTGTGGGACTCAGTGCAGTTGTATGTCCTGGGGTGTGCAGGCCCCTATGGACCTGCTCACTGAACCGAAATCCTGGGGATCACATACTAGATTCCTTGAGGAGGAGAGCATAGGACGCCAGTGCTCAGGGTACAAGTGGTGCTTGTATCTGTGGGTGGCCAGTGGTTGAAACAACAGTGTAGGAAGGGAAGAAACAGGGAACCTTATTGTGGCTGGATTTCATCCTATGCTGTAGTGCAGACAGGATCCTCTGGGGGAGCGTGGTCATAAAAGGAGTTGCCCAACCAAAGCCCAAATCATAAGACTTCAGTGTGTGTTGGATTTCAGGCTCTTGGGCTTGAGGGGAAAGTGTTGTTGGGCAAAATGGCATACCATTGTTGAGTGAACACTCATGGATATGCATTTTCCACATCTTTATCAGCTCCAGCACAAGGAGCTCTCTGGAGTTTCAGAGAACCTTGGGGATGGCGCTTTCTGTGGGGACTTTACAGCCATAGTGTGCTCTGTTGTCTACATTCCCTGACCACTGTTGGAGAGCCCCCATGAGTGGCTCTTGCCATTATCCTTTGCCCTCCATGGCACTAGGAGCCTGACCTCCCCATGCTTCCAAACTTGCAAATACATGGCATAGATTGCCAGTGTGCCTTGTGGTCAAGTTTCAACATTACTTTGTCCTGCATGCACCCTTTTTGATCATCTCACTGCCGGGATTGTGGAGATCTTCTTTGTTACTTTGGCCCTACATTTCCCATGTTGACTGCCAAGTATATCATCTTGGGCCAGCCTGTGCTTGCCCTGGCACAGGAGAAATTTCAAGGTGGTCATGTTGAGCAGATCCGCGTCCCAACCAAAGTGATTACAGTCTTGTACGTGGTATATAAAGGCCTTGGAGGCCAAGCCTACTGGGCCCTACTGCTAAGCAATGTGAGTTGGTTCACTGGTTCTGGGTTAGAGTGGCTTGTACCTGTGGCATTGGCAATCATAGTGTCATGGTTTATCGGCTGGCACATGGTTAGGTTCCATATTTGCCAAAGACCAAGTTACTGGGGGTTACTGTGTGCCAGCCCAGCGTGGGGCCTCAGTGACAGCAATTAATCTTGGTCAGGAAGCAGTCATTTGGGCACAAAGAGGATGAGTCTTTTTAGCCCTAGCCCAGGGTGACCAAAACCTATCTCCAGGCTTGGCTCCTGTCCTTTCCATGTGTGTGGCCTGATGTTTGAAGGCAGTGTACTTGATGGGGTAGCAGGACCAGGGGGAAGACCTCCTGACTGCATCACTGGCCCTTTGAGAAACAGCATTTCCACACATGCCTTGCATGCTGTCAAGGGAGGCAACTACTGTTCCATGGGGAGCCCTTGGGCTTTGTCATCACCCAGAAGGGTGTCAAATGTGTCCTGCTGAAGGAAGGTTCTGAGCCTTGGCAATGGGGGCTTAAGGGGTGAGAATGAGAGGTGCCCAGGATGGCAGCCCTGGGAGGTCAGATGCCAGCCCAGGTGGCCAGGGGCCTTACCCTCACAACACAAAGGGGTACACCCACAGGCTTTCCCAAGCAGAAATCCTGGAAAAATACCCAGAGTCCCACCCAAAGAATCCTTGTGTGCCAGTGGTCCCCTCTTCACATGTACAGTCTGTGACTGTTAACCATGTAGGGCAGACATAGGGCATGTGAGAGGGAGCATGGTGCCGTGGCTAGTACGGACAGTGGTGGTGACTTGTGTAGCAGGTTCATCATCTCATGTTCATCCCTGGTCTGTGTGCAGTTCTCAGGGGGATTTGTAGCCTACAGTGTGGATCCAGCGAAGACACAAGATCTACACTTCTCCTGAGGACTAGAAGCACTCGGAAGTGGTGGAATCCCTATGGCCTGTAGAGGGCTCCATGTCTCTGGAGCTATGAGGACGGTAAGCATTCCAGGCCCAGAAGCCCTACACTACCCCAATCATTCTGGAGACCTGAAAGGCCTATATGCTGGCCCACCACTGATAGCCTGCTGGGCTGCACTGTGCTCACTGGCTCCCCCCCCCCCCCCCCCCCCCCGCCAAGCATGTGGACAAGTGCTTGGGCTGATGATGACTCCTGCAAATACATTCCTTCATAGCTGAACAAAATGAGTGAAAACCCTATACTGTCTTTCTCATCACGACTAAGGTCCAGCATGTTGTCCCCAGCTAGGGATGTTAGGGGTATGGGTCCACGTCCCCTGCCTCATGTTCCATCCAGCAGTCAGAATATCAATAAAAGCAAATCCTGCCACCACATAGGCAAATGGAACTGTCCTCCAAGGACTCTGCCCAGGCAGGGGAGTGCTCCATGGGATGGTGATATATGTGGATGTGATGTCCTTATAAGGAGCCATAGGTCTTGGCATTGTAGTAGAGGGTGCAAGTGGGTGTCCTTCAGTGTGCAGGCCATGTGCTTTGCAATGGTTGGCCCCTGTGGATCTGATCACTGAACCTGTGCCCAATGTGGCCTGAGGCCCAGATCCTTGGGACTGTGTCCTTATTTCCCTGAGGAGGAAATTTTAGAATGCCAGTGACCAGACTTGAGGTGGTGCTTGTATCTTTGGGCTGCCAATATTTGTGAGCCAACAGGAAACGGGGCTTTTTGTGGCCAGATTCCACCCTATGCTGTAATGCAGATAGAATATGCTGAGGGACATGGCCATACAAGGACCTGCCCTTATCATGGAATAGCAACATGTGTTGATTTGGGAGTCCTCAGACTCGGAGGTAAAATCTTGCCAGGAAACGTGGATGAGTGGTTACTCATGGTACTCATAGATGTGCATTTTCTGCATCTTTTACAGCTCTAACACAAGGAGCTCTCTGGAGTTTCAGGGAACCTTTGAATGGCACTTTCTATGAGGCTTTAAGGTCAGAATGTGCTCTACTGCCCATGTGCCCATGACCTGTGCACCAGAATCTGTCTCACATGTGCCCCTGGTCTGTGTGCATTTCTCAGGGGGAGTCGAGGCTGGCAATATATCTTCTGGGATGAAGTAAGATGTACGCTTCTCTTGAGGACCAGAGGCACTGGAGGGCGCTGGAATCCCTGTGGCCTGTGGTGGGCTCTATTTCTTGGATTTCTGAGGATGGTAAGCATTCCCATGCCATAGGCCCTGCAGCACCCCAAGCATTCTCAAGAACTGAAAGACCTATATGCTGGCCCTCCACTGATGGCCTGCTGGCCTGCACTGCTCTGGCAGATTGCCTTGCCTTCTTTCTCTGAGCCATGGACCTGGTCTCCCCAGGCCCATGAAGGTCTTTGTGGTCGCCAGGCTCTTCCCTAGCCCTGCCACAGTGCTCCCCTCCCAGCATGTGGGCATGTGCTTGGATCGATGATGACTCCCACAAATACATTCCTTGGAAGCTGAACAAAATGAGTGAGAACCTCATACCGTCGTTCTCATCGTGACTGAGGTCCAGCACGTTGCCCCCAGCCAGGGTCCTACGAGGAGTGGGCCCACATCCCCAGCTTCTCGTTCCCTCTAGCAGTCAGGTTATCAAGATAGGCAAATCCTGCCACCACACAGGCAAACGGAGCCAGTCCTCCGAGGCAGTGCCCAGGCCGGGGAGTGCTTGGTGAGACAGTCATATATGAGCATGTGTGGCATCCTTGCAAGGAGCTATAGGTCTTGGCATTGTGGGAGAGAGTGCAGGTGGATGTCCTGCGGTGTGCAGGTAGTGGGCTTGACAATGGATGACCTCTGTGGAGCTGTTCATCAAGCCTTTGCCCCATGCCGCCTGATACCAGGATCCCTAGGACTTTGTCCTTGATTCCCTAAGGAGGAGAGCAAAGAATGCAAGTGCCCAGACTTGAGGTGGTGCTTGTATCTGTCTTTTGCCAATGGTTCTGAGACAGCAGTGTAGGGCAAGTGGAAACAGGGGCCTTGGTGTGGCCAGATTCCACTCTACGCTGTAGTGTAGGCAGGATGCACTGAGGTGTGTGGCCATGCAAGGGCCTGCCCTTCCACATCCCACATCACAGTTTTGTAACCTGTTTTGGATTTGGGGCCCCTCAAGCTCAGAGGGAAAATCTTGCCAGGAAAAATGGCATACCATGGTTTTTGGACACTCATGAGTATGTGTTTTCCACATCTTTTCCAGCTCCAGCATAAGCAGCTATGTTGTAGTTCAGGCAGCATACACTGAGGGTCCTGGCCATACAAAAGGCCTGCCCCTCCTGTTCCCATGACATGGGACTGCAG